GGGGGAGGGGGATGGAGGTGGGAGGTTAAGTTTGTCCTTCAGTTTTCCCCTTCCTATTTACCAAAACAAGTGCGGGGAAGAGAAATAGAAGACAACAAGAAAAGAAAAGAATGCAAATTGAGATCAAATATCAGGTGGTTTGCAAGGTCGTTGAATCAACAATAATAAGAGCACATCAGCCATGATATAAAAGAACAATTAACATACTTCAAATAGGGCAGAGTCATGTTCTTCAGCAATGACGGGTATCTAATAACGAACTCTTTCCAGTCCTTCTTATCAATCTTACCATCCCCATCAGCATCGGCATCAGCAAATGTCTATCAGAAACATGGAGACATAAAGATTATGATATGCAGACATGGGTTCGGAGAAAAGATTCACCTTGACAAAAGCATACCTTATCAATAATTTCCTCGACCAGTTCATCAGATAACCTCATTTCAGATTCCATCAGAATTGCAATTACCATTTGCTTAACCTAAATGAGGAAACTTTCAAATCAATTCATGGAAAAATTCATCTAGAAATAACTTGGACATCAACTTTAACACAGAACACTGCAAGTAGATTACCGAGGTAGACCTAAGCTATGCACCAGGTTCTGCTGATGCACTTTTCTGGGAGCTGCCTCTTGTATCTCTCCCCCCCAAACCCCCCAAGAAAAAGGACTGAAACAACCTAGACTAAACATTCCCACTTTCAGTTAACATAAACTCAAAGGCTACCTCAGGATTTTAGCCTTTATTGCATCAACATATGTACAAACAATCATTAGCTACAACAAAAGGAAAGGTCAAACACTTCGGCCTAACGGGAATGAGCAACGATGAAATGAGAAGATGAGGTTATGTACTTTCCTTGTACCATTATTGCACCAATATACTCACTTGTATTTCAAATGCACTGAATCAACAATAGAACAAAAAAAGGAGTGTGCTCTGGATTAATAGAAGGATAACTGATGACTTCTAATCTAGTTCGGGATCAGCAATGTATCAGTAATGGAATTGATCACATAAAATAGGAGTTTAGAAGCTTCCAAGTTAAACATGCTTTCTAAGCATATAATGTTATCAAGAACTTGTCACTGCAGCCAAAATATTATCAATCTCAAACTTGTGCTTCATATATATCAGCTGTAACATCTTTTAATAAGTTGAAGTAAATGACTTGTGGGAAATAACCCTGTATGAACCTTGTGTGGGCTCACTCTTCTCCCACTTCCGTTGCTCTCAGAGTAGTATGATATTGTCATATATAAATAATCCAGTTTAAGTTTATCAATCAATCACTTCGCAATATCATTCCCATCTGACTTAACAAATCATTTTGTGTCCGAAGTATTTTTTGAGACATCATCAGTCAGATCTATATTCTAGTTTCAGTTTCAGAATCAATCAACTTTCTATGTTTACATACATTATATAGTTTATAGCCTGCAAAATGTGAGAGAAATTTATACTCCTTCGCTTCCAGTATTTCTGAATAGAACTTAAAACACTAGAATCTGCAAACTAAGAGTGCAGGTTATCAGCAATTGTTAGATCCGAATAGGAGTAGTTATTTAGAAAGCATCTGGTAATATCACATTTTTGGAGTAGAAAAGAACTTCAAAGCTGTTGACAGAAATTCTCAAACTAGTTTACTCACTTCTTCTCGCTCAATGAACCCAGTTTGTCGTAAATCATACAACCTAAAGGCAACTGCAAGAGAAAAAAAGTGATTACAATGAAATACACACGCCAGATAATTTGAATAGAGAAACAATTAACTAAAAGAATGGTTTACACCCCTTACAGTCTATTTTGTCGTCTATTGGCGCATATGGATGGAAGATATTAAGTGCATGGATAAATTCCTCAAACTCAATGACTCCATTCTGCTTTTCATCAAAAAGATAAAAAACCTGCAGAAAAGGAACTTGGAAAGTTCATCAACATGAAACTAAAGACAATTTCTTGACGGAGAAATTAAGGTCAGACAAAGTTGATGCAAGGCAAATATCTTTTAACTCTTTCCTCATTTTTTAGCTATCCCTGATATATATTTCAACTGTTAGAAAGCAGCATGTCCTCAATACAGTTAAACGAGATATTACATGTAAAGAACCACAAAGCTAACAGCACAGTTGACAAATAACTAACCCTACTTATATAGAATATGGCAAACTTCAGATGATTGATCCATCTAACCCACCTAAATGTACTAATAAATGACATGGACAGCCAACTATAATAATGTGACATATTCATATCTATGAAGAACCCCAAGGTTGGCAGTTCATATATAGACCCAGCAGATAACCTATCTTTTTCAGTTGAAGCATCAAAGTGCATGTAAATTGGCATGTTTAGCATATTCAATTCTAACACAATCCATATATAATGTGCTAGCATTATTCTCATGGAATGGAGATAGATATCTCAAGAGAGAACACGAGATGAACTAGGACCAGAAGTTTTAGTGCATTTACCCGGTCCAAAAAGAGATTCTCACCATATGGAGTTTGAAATAAGGCTAGCTGAAGCTCTTCCTGGAAAAAGAAAGCAAAAGATAAATATAACATGACAATAGTTTCAAAACTCTGCATATACTTCAGTAAGAAAAAGTAAAGAGGGAAGGGAAAAGACCACTCAAGGATCTAAAACTGCAAAAAAGTGATATGCGGCATATGCAAATTTGTAAAAAATGAAAAAGAACACTGTTATCATCTATCTGAAGATGAAGAAAGAACATAAATAAGAGGAAAAGAAAGGTTCGAAAAACTAATATTCATCCTCTATCCTTCATTATAGCAGAAATGTCTAACATAAAAGTGAAACTTCACGGGAAATGCAGATAAAAGTTGAGATAGATGTCACTGAAAGGTTAGGACTGAAAATTGCACAAATCTCCACCTACATATTTCTCTTTGTATGAAGACTCGTTCAATTTCAGGATAAGTTATATTACTATGTCAGCAGATAAAACACACACAAATAAATGGTGCATATTGCAGAGAATTTATTTAGTTCAGCCACACCCAATAATTAAGCCCTATAACCCAGATCTCCTTTCCAACTTAACCCTTACATCAAAATTAAAACCCGAAACGCAAGCCTTGCTGGGCGCACCTTTACTTCCAACACTCAATGCAGATCCAACAAATGACAAGAGGGTTTCTGATGCACAATTGATTTGTGAAAAGGCTAATCCAGGAGACTACACAAGGAAGATAAGAAGGTAACAGAGGAAAATCGAGAGTTTAGTTGAGACAGAAATATTAGAAGACAAAAAGAAGAGATTTTGTATTTCATAAGACGCCTTACAATGACTATTACAATCGTACTTATACTCATATGAATGGATACAACTAATCAAAAGAACGAGTAACAAAATCTAATAGAAATCCTAACTAACTTTCCAACGAACAGCAACTCTGACTAACTTTCCAGTGAACAGTAACTCTAACTAACAGTTTCCTGTACTCACTCAAGGAACCTGTTCCTTACTCTTGATGCTTGCGCCAGTTTCCCTATCTCTAGCAAAACTACATGTTAATAATACTCTGTCATCCTAGTTTCGTTCCAAGAATCAAACAGATTGGTCTTTCTTTTTTTCAAATAAAGTAACTTTAACAGTGACCATCATCAACAAGAATCAAACAATATTCTGAGTAATTTTTTACTTTTTCATCATTTTGGACGGTAAGTTGCAATATATGTAATTTTTTTGTAAAATTGCTAAATTTACTGAATTAGTCTAAGTGCACTAATATCCAAAAAAATTATCACAAATTACGAATTGGAACAGAGTGATAACAAAAGCAAAACCCTAAAAAAAGGACAAATCACCTTATGTATCAAACCATCATCGATAATTGAACAACTCAACTTCTTAAACAACTCATATAATGCTTCCACTTCATTCACATTAACTGAAAAATCAAAATTCACCAAAAAAATGATTCAACCTATACAGTTCCAAATCACTTTTCGGGTAAAAAAAATAAATAGAGAGAAGAAAATGGAATGTTAATTACATCGAGATTCACCGGCAAGTCGAGCAAGGTCCGCGTAGTCGTAATTAAACTTGTTCTTTGGAGGGTAATGACATTCGAAGCAACCAGAAACAGCATAAATACAAGCTTCAATGAGTGCAATAATGGGGAAAAATGAAGCACAAATTTTCTCTGAGATTGTCAAAGAACTCCAACTCTGAAGAATCCACAAAACAAAACAAAAAAATTAAATAGAATTTTATGTGAAATAAAATGAATTGTTGCAAATTACCAGAGAACTTCGCGTGGAATCCATTGATTTGTATCACATTCTCGCTTGTAGCAGCTTCACAACATTACCAATAAAGCAGACAGAGAGGACAGAAATGAATTACGCCTTTAAAAATTTTATTAGTTTAAAGTTGTTTTGCTTCTCTCCACTTTTTATTAGGAGAGTTTGAAATCGTATATGTCACACAAGATATATTTAAATTTAGTTAATCTAGTAAAAAGGTGTTTTATGACTATCAATAATTTGAAAACAAAACTAGTAAACTGCACAAATTTAAAGTTATTTTCAATGCTTTTTCTCTTTTTTCTAATAAAATAGGGAATATTCTATTTTTTAAATTAAAATAAAATAAGCATTTGTTAATATATTTACTAATTTAAAACTAAAATAAAAGGTCGATAATATTTTATTTTAAGCTAAAATAAGTTTAAAACATAAGTTTATAAGCCCAGACACTCAATAACTCCATCAATAAACATTTTAAATATATTTTATGATTTGAATGAACATAATGCATTATATTTAGGTATTTTATAATATTATGATTTTTATATATTAATTTGCCAACTAAATATCAAAACGAGCATGTTAACGCCCAAGTAATATGATTAAATACTAAATATATTTATATGCACAAAATCTTGATATTAGGAAAACATTAGTGGTATTAGTATGTTCTTTAATCATATTTAAACGCACTCGTTCTTTAATGTCAGTGCAAGATCAGATCCACACGACTGTGCCAATGCCAAGTGTTAAGTTAAGGTGGTTTACGTAATAAAGTTTAACTTTATCTTATGGAGTATATATTTTTCTATTTAAAAGTACGAGTGTTTGTATTGTATTAATGTATCGTTAGGCTAAACATGATGTTTATTTTGATCATTGCTTTATTATATTATATTATTTAAATTCATTATTATTATGTAATGACAAAAGAATCATTTTTTGTACAGATAAATTTGGTGTGATTATATTGTTACCTTGATATTTTCTTCTCATGTTATCTTAGTTATTGTTTAATAATCCTATTTTATTCTTAATCCTAGTTTTTTTTTTATAGTAGCTCTACCTCATATCCTATTTTATAGATTTATCATTCAAATTATTGACGTGTGATATTATATAATGACGGATAACAAAATAATTTATTCAAAAAATTATTTTTATTTAAAAAAAATAATACAATATAATATATTGCATTATAAAACAATACATAACCCATTGTTTGCGACAAACACAAATTTTGGAAAAGAAAGGGATATTGTCTAGTAAGGTTTCCAAAAAAAAAACAAATAATGTATGAGTCACAAGCTTATCGTTTGGTAGTTAAAGTTATCTACTGATTTATTAAGGTTTCCACCAATTGATTGGTGTGATAATTTATTAAGGTAGCATTTGATCATTTTTAATATTTTTTATTAGTCAATTTTAGATGAAGTTTCAAAATGCATTTGATCATAATTTAAAAAATATATTTTATTTTTTAAAAAAAATATGAAATATAATTTCTAGCTGTAAGTTCTAAAACCTATTAAAGATATTCATATAAGTTTGAAGTAGACTTATCATTTTATAATGAACAAGATAATACATTATTCAAAACACAACTATCTCATTCATCGGGTTGTATATCGATCGGTTCGGTTCGATTTTGAAGTTTATCGGTTATCAGTTTGTAAAAATATTAAACAGTTATAGAGCCATTAAAATATTGGTTTATCGATCGGTTATCAGTTTATTGATCATTGATTTAACTGTTAAGATTTGACAAAAAAAAATCATTGAAAATAACTTAGAAATAAAGTGACAAATCAAATGAACCATATTGTATATGAGTTGATATATTGCATATTGGGTAAAAGAAAACACTGACACGTCGTAGAATAATCGAAAATTTGAGAAAACCAAAATAAAGGTACGAAACTAAGCACTAAGTCAAACACTTTATATACAGATGGGATGAATATAGTTTACCATCCGATTATCGATTACCCCGTTAAAAAAATCTCAAACCATTAAAAATCGGTAATTCGATAATTTATAAAATTAAAATCATTACCGAAATCATTAAATCAATAACCCATTATCGATAAATTAATAACTTTTTTTCGATTCGAATTATCGATTTTAAACAACCCTACACCCCAACCAATCAAAAAATGTACAAGCATAATTGACCCTACTACAGATTACAATAGTGATTTCTTTTTAGGGGAAATGACGTTTTTAGTCCCTGTGTTATTGCCTAATTCCACTTTTAGTCCCTGTGATATTTGACTGTGCACATTTAACCTTGAATTAACTAGAAACTGGGCGATTTTGATCTAATTACTAAGAAATACTAACTTTGTTAACATATTGCTTATTAACGGAAAGGGCAATTTTGGTACTAGAAAGTATTGGCTATTCTACTTTATTTATTATATAATAAAATAATTCTTTTATCATTTAAATTTACTCTAAATTCATGTGCTAGCATATTGTCAGAATTACCATGACATACATTGCATTTACTTTTACTTTCTCCTTCATTTTAATTTTTTTATCTCTTTCTCTCTCTTAGAATCACATGAAATACATATGTGTTCTTCTCTCCTATCTTATCTCTTTCTCTCTCTTAAAAATCCAATGTAGAGCTCCCCAAATATTGATTTAATACTAAAGGAAAATTTACGATGGAGCTCATATTGGAGTGATTTTTGTTTCATTTGAATCAATTTTTGAGATTTCTTCTCAGTTCTTCTTCAACTTGAGATATGAGGTAAGTCTTTTTGATTTAGCCTTACCGATTCGATCAAGCGATTTTAGTTCTTCAATGTCATGACCCGATTCCTCGAGTCATGATGGCACTTACTATAACCTACCAGTAGATAAACCAACCCGTAACCCGGAACAACAACTAATGGATCTGAGGGCAGAAACTAAACAAAAGTAGGCAAAATTTAAGATAACAACATAAACAGGCAGAAGCAAACCAAAACATATATACAATTAAAGATCTTTCCCAGAACCTGGAAGTCACTAGTACAGAGCTACTAACAAAACGAGTACAAATCCCAAAACCGGACCACATAAACTGGACTGTCTCGAAAGGTAAAAGACAAGTCTATATATACAGATGGAGACTAAAATAGTACAAAACGTCGTGTGCTCACCCCTGTCTCCGGATCAGACTACTCCAAACTGGATCAACGCTAGCCATTGGTACTCGAACCTACATCACGAAACAGATGCAGAGCGTAGCATGAGTACCACAACAGCAGGTACCCAGTAGGCATCATAGGCCGACTGAACTTGAAAAGTAAAGGCAATATGAAAAGAAGGAATAACACAAACCGAAGTCAAGAACGAAATTCTAAC